TCGTGTTGCTTATTGTTATTTAATTATTGATTTTGACTTATGTTATCAATGTGCGTTTATATTTATCTTCGGTGCTCCTTTAGAGTAAAAATAATACATAAATACATATACAAATACCTAAAATGGTAATATGGATTTATGAATCATAACAACAAAAACTATGAATCAAAAATAAAACAAATTCAAGTTATCAACAAAAAGAAGCAAAAATAAACAAAGTGAAACAAAAAGTAGCAAGTATGATAATAATTAGATTAACTATTTTATAAACGTTACAATAAAATTCAATATTTTCAGTGTTTTCAGTTTTCAAATTTTACATGTTTAATATAGTAGTTCTTCAGTTTTTTTTTTCTTTTTTGACTTTTTATTATTAATATATATATATATATATATATATGTATATATATATATATATATATATATATATATATATATATATATATATACTTCGTATATATGAATTTAACAGATTTCTAATTTGTATATACTCCGTTCTTAAATTCTTTTACTTTAAAAAAAATTATAATTAGTTTTCATACTTTTTAATAGTTTCAAAACAGTTTTCCTCAAAAAAAGTTCCAAAGCAGTTTTTATCTAACTTTATATTTTTTGTTTTGAATTCTAGTTATATCTTAAACTATTTTAAACCTTTATATATTTATTTTCGAATTTTTTTTATATTAAGTTTTATTTCGTGCTTTGCTTTTAAAAAACTTGTGTTCATTTTCTTTTTTCTTTTCTTTTTTAATTTTTTATATCTATTTTTTCTTATTTTAACTTTGGATTATTCATTCGTAAAATATAATTAATTTTTTTTAGAATTCTTATAATAGAATACTCCGTATAATTGTTTTTTTTTAAATTGTGAATTTTTCTAAATTTTTCTTTTCTTATATAAAATATTTTACATTTTTCTTTTTTACTGTTTAAATCCTTTTTAGATTCTTTTTAAATATGTTTCTTCAATATTTAGAAAAAAAACCATTTTATAGCATTTTTTATATTGTGATATAGATTAATCCGCATTATGCTTTTATTTTGATTTCATTGTTTCAATAAGTGGTAGGATTGGGTACGTTCAAATTGTGCGTACAAATAATATAATGTATTTTTTATTATATAAATTTGAATTGATATTTTTTTATTTTCTCGGATGTCACACTTTTGAATTAGATAAATTATTTTATCTAGTTTTTATTCTAAAACCTTCACTCGTTGTAATACTTGTAAACTATTTTCATGTTTTTTAATTTTTTAATTTTATTTTAGTTTTAGAAAGGTTAAGATTCCAATTTTTAAAGTTTAATTTACGTTTTTTTCGTTTTTGAGAAAGCATGTATTTTTTACTTTTTTATGATTTTATATATTTATATATTTCGCTTCATTCATTATTTTTTTAAATTTCATTTTGTAAATTATGGAGTACATAATGCTTCTAAAAAATGACATTTCAAAACTTGTTAATTTACATTTTTTTTTCGATTATTTTAATATTTTTACATTCTGTACAGTTGTACAATTTTTTCTATAAAAAAACAAAATAACTAAACATGGGAGCTATTTTAAAAAAGAAAAGAAAAGTCAACCTGAGAACTAAGTTGATGCACCGTACAGAGTGTTATTTTAAAGTCAGATCTTCATGTGCGCTTCTTTGAATTCGGGTGAATTGGTATACGGACTTACGGACACCTGGTTCATTTGTGAAAGGAGAAAGTGAACTGATCTAATTTTGAAAGGAAAATTAAAAAGTGATAAAAGTGATATGACTTCCCCTTTTGAGTCTATTTGTGATATTTTCCCCTTGTTTTACCCTTGTGTGAGTTCTTATTAAATACTTATATTCCGCTATGTGTTTAATTGTATGTTGATGTTGTTATGTATGTTTACTAATCGGTTTTGGCATATGTATCTATCGGACGTCTTGTGCAATTCGTTAAGGATGAACTGCGGTTATTCTTATTGGGTTGTACGACGGTTGTCCACGTGGCACATACGCGGTCAGGGGCGTGACACGATCAAAATGGGAAAACCGCTTTGACTAGGTAACGGTTACCTGAACAATTACCAGACCCACACAATAAACTTATATCCCCCCCGTCCCAATATAAAAGACACATTTTCCTTTTTGGGTTGTCCCAATATAAAAGACACATTTCCCTTTTTGACAAGCAAAACAGTGCAAACAGTGTCAAACAGTGTCCAAACAGTGCCAAATAGTGTCCAAACAGTGCCAAATAGCGTCCAAACAGTGTCCACCCTAAAAATGTGTGGAAAAGCGAATATGCCTTTTATATTGGCACAGAGAGAGTATATTTTAATAGATTATGTATTTATTGTTTGATACGGAGTATATTATAGTTTAATATATTATAGTAGTACATGTGAATAGTAGTACATTATTATATGACACTCATTCCCTCTAATAGTTTTTTAATCATATTCCCTCTAATACTTTGACACAATATTATGTATTTATATAGATTAAGTATATGTGAATAGTAGTACATTATTATATGACACTCATTCCATCTTATACTTTTACGGAGTACTTTAAATTTTCAATTTCATTCATCATCCTTCCTTTGTGTGCGTCATCATCATCGAATCTCTTATATTTTTTTGATTGAAAAACGATTTTATTCAATAAATAAAGTAAAAGTTACAGTGCAAGAAGATAAGTAAAAACAAGAAAACAAGAAAGTAAGGAAAACAAAAACAAAAAGACAAACACTAGACCCAAGGGAAATCTCTGGACTGTGATCTGGTCCTCATGCTATGGCGTCTTTTATTCTTCTGAGATTTCCTGTAGATCTTTAGTTGTGTGTTCAGATTTTCTGTCGGCAGGAAGTTTTCCGAGGTGACCAACTTTGATTTACGACATATCGTTCTATTGAATCTGGAGTTCTTAATTTCTTCCTGGTATGATAGAGGGGGTCGACGATCGCTTACGGTTGCATGACCTAGAAAATCGTCTGTGATAAAAGAGTCGTCAGAGTGGTCAAAGCCGTCCGAGGCATCAGAGTACGCCTGGAGGCGTGGGTTTTGAAGTTGTTTCTCAAATGAAAGGGGTTGTTTCCCGGCCAGAATAGAAGACTTGTTGACAGACTTGTTTCATCGAATCTCTTATATCGATCACAAAGAATTTTCTTACTTTCAGAGTTGATGGGTATTGTGTTTTACATGATTTATTTTCTTCACATATTGATTATTTGATTTTCGTGATATTCTGTACCCATTTTCTAGGGCTGGGACTTTGGACCCAAGAACCGGAGAACCGAACCGGACCGAACCGTTATGACCCGGTTCCAAAATTTATTAGTTATTTGTTAACAGTTCGGTTCCTATTTTTTATTAACGGTTCGGTTATCGGTTCCTGAAAACAATATGTACCCGGAACCGTTATAGATAATAATTAAAATTATATATATTTCTTATTAGAATATATATTTCAATGTATATTTACTTATCTATTTTCATATTACATTCACTATTTTAGTTTAGTTATTTAACTATTTGAAATTATTTTTCATTCAACTGGTTTTATTCGGCTTCATTAGCGAATATCTTGTTTTTTTTTGTTTTCAAAAATTTGCAGTTTGTTATCCATTTATGTTCTAAACTCAACTTTTGAGGTTTGAAATGATGTTCAGCATATATGTATTGTAATTTCAAGCGTTGAATGTCTTTTTGACACAAATTTAACCGTGATTTGTAAGAATTTTTTTTAAAGACTAGGAACCGTTAAGTGGCAAGAACCGAACCGTTAAGAACGGTTCGGTTCCTTATCGGTTCTATAAAATAATTTATAAGAACCGAACCGTTAGTAAAATTTTATACTTTCAAACGGTTCCACATATTTTGCCTAGGAACCGAACCGGTCCCATGCCTACCATTTTCTACATTGTGGCTCTCTTAATTTTCTATCCTATAACTTTCATAGTACTCAAGTATGAGTTTAAAGTCCAAATATTGTTAAGCATTACTGTAATTGTTAAGAAATTACAGAAATGCAATGTTTATTAGATTATTTTTATTTGGTTGCTCTAATTTATATCAAGTTTTGAATTTGAATTATGAGATATCCAAAACAGTAACTACACGAATAGATAAATCATAGTATTAGAAGTACCATTTTTGGAAACAATTCCAAATATACAACCAAAACAAATGTTGTGGACAAAATGCGACTATAATAACTTTAGTGATTATAATTGTATTCAAATGTTATATCGTAGTGACTATAAAACTTACTCATGGTAATTTATAGTCACATTTTTGTTCATATATTTTTTATTAGTAATAATTTAGGAAAAAATCTCCCATTTTTATTATGTTACTTGGATACATTAATGTTTTTAAATTTAGATATTGAATGTTGGTGGGATATGATTATTGAAAATTTGAAAGTTAAATCTTTTTGTAATTCATATTTAGATTTTACTATCGGGACAAGACTTCATACTTTGATGTTAAGAGATTCATAAATTGAATCTAGACATATATTATTTGTGAATATTAGGTTCAAATTAATGTAATTTTTTATACTGTTTTAAAATACTTGATATTTTGTGCTAATTAATTTTTATTTTTATAGTTTAGGTGGTCAATGATAAGTAATTAATCATCATTTTAGGATATATATTAATTTTGAAAAAAAATACTCCATATCTTTTAATAAAACGGTTACCCGCGGGGGAAAACTGTTCCCTGTTCTAATCGGGTACAGTTCGGGTAAAAAATACCCAACGGGTAACGGGGCGGTTTCGGGGGTAAAAAAATAACCAACGGGGCGGGTACGGGTAATGACATACCCGATCCCGAACCGCCCCCTTACCCTCCCTAGCCCTATTTGGTCTATAATACTACGTAATATTGTAATGATCCTTATTTCTTACGTAGTAAAAATTTGAATGGGATTATGACATCTCTTTACTCAAGTTTTATATATTTATCCTTATATCCTAAAATTTTGAATGGGACTAGGACACGTTATAGTGGGCTAAACTGCTCTATTGGACATTGACATGTTACAATGTTACATAACAGTATAACACACATGTATATACACGGTAGGATTTTATTTTATAAAATGAAGTCAAAACGGTTAATTATGGCCCACGCGAATAACCGAATCCAGCCTTCCTAAACTCATATCACCATCGTTACTTGGAATTGGAAATCACAGATCCACAATCCCTACGTGGCCGGAAAGCGCCGCCTTTAAAAGTTAGCCTTTTGCGATGCCAGGGGTAGCAACAATGGAGTTACCAGTAGAGCCCCAGTCTCTGAAGAATCTCAGTTTCAAATCTCTGAAACGAGCCCTTGATCTATTCTCTCCTCTTGACTGCCCTTCTGATCAGGAAAGCAAGAAGAATCGGTTAAGACATAAGCTAAATTTTGAATACAGATCTATAACAAACACATCCCCAGCTATGGCTTCTCAATCGTTCCAAGCTCAAAGGGAATCTGCTTCTTCTAACGCCCTTTCTCTTGTAGGCATAGGAATTGCAAGAATCGGCCCACAGAAGTGTGGGTTAGATAAAGAATTAGTGCTCGGTCCAGCTTTACAATCAAAGATCAGATTTTCTACTGCAATTGCTCCATTAAACCCTTCTTCCAAAAAGGGTCTTTCAACTGCGGCAACCATGGAAAGAACACCAAGTGATTGGCCACGCCCTGGAAGAACTACCGGGTCATCAGCGGGCACTTGGATTGGGTGCGGTCTGTTGCAGTGGACCCCAGCAATGCGTGGTTCTGTACAGGCTCTGCAGATCGAACCATCAAGATCTGGGATTTAGCAACCGGGGCCCTAAAACTCACCCTTACAGGCCATATTGAACAAATAAGAGGCCTTGCAGTTAGCAGCAAACACACCTACATGTTCTCTGCTGGTGATGATAGACAAGTCAAGTGCTGGGACCTTGAACAGAACAAGGTGATTCGGTCTTATCATGGTCATTTAAGCGGTGTCTATTGCTTGGCTCTACACCCCACCCTTGATCTTCTGCTAACCGGGGGTCGTGATTCAGTGTGCAGGGTTTGGGACATCAGAAAAAAGACTCAAGTTCATGCCTTGTCAGGGCATGAGAACACAGTTTGCTCGGTTCTTGCTCGGCCATTGGACCCTCAAGTCATTACTGGCTCACATGATTCAACTGTGAAATTCTGGGACCTCAGGAATGGCAAGACCATGTCAACACTCACCCACCACAAGAAATCTGTCCGGGCGATAGCATTGCATTCAAAGGAGGATGCTTTTGCGTCTGCCTCTGCTGACAACATAAAGAAGTTCAACCTTCCAGAAGGAAAGTTTCTGCACAACATGGTTTCCCAGCAGAAGGCAATTATCAACGCCATGGCTGTCAATGAGGAAGGTGTGTTGGCTACAGGAGGTGATAATGGGAGCTTGTGGTTCTGGGATTGGAGGAGTGGCCACAATTTTCAGCAATCACAGACAATTGTTCAACCCGGGTCTCTGGAAAGTGAGGTTGGCATCTATGCAATGGCATATGATGTCACTGGTACAAGGCTTATTACTTGTGAGGCTGATAAGACCATAAAGATGTGGAAAGAGGACGTAAACGCCACCCCGGGAACTCATCCTCTTCACTTTAGGCCCCCTAGAGATATTAGTCGGTTCTGAACGGTGGATTGTTTTCTGGAGTCCTAGAGATTTCATAATCACGCTATCTAAACTGTATGAAGAAGTACATTTCATATTAGTCATTTAGTCTATTAGTTTCTATACTTACATTATTCTAAAACATCTACATGCTAAAAGCTTAAAATTTCAAAACTTACACAAGTTCCTCAGGAATAGAGTTCAGGACTTCTATTGATTGGATAATGTCTTCTCATAGTCTCATGTACACATGCTAATGTTTTGTTCTTTCTCTCATCTACACCCATGATTTATTGGCAATATTCCGCTAGTTTTATCTGGTCCTCAATGTGATTGAATTATTAAACTGATATCTCAGAATTTAGATATTTGCAGTTTAACTTATAATTAGTGTATTGAAAATGAGAATGGCAATTTGAAAAAGTTACTCCATATGTGATAGGTAGGTTGCATACCCTGCCACTTTAGCTATGTCTTTGTTCCATTCGATTTAGGTAATTAGGTGTGCATCATCCTCCATTTCCATGAGTAAAACATGTAGAGTGTTAAAAAAAATAAGGCTATGTACTACGTATGTTTTGTTATTAAAGTAAAATTAATTTAGTCATACTAGTATTATAAAAGAATAAAACAATAAAAATTTCTCAAAGAGTGCATAAATTTCTGTTTTGGGAAGAAAATAATGACACCCCTTTTACAATGAGGCAACCTTGAATAGTTGAATAGCATATATATTGTCACTATTTTTCATGTCATGATAGAAATATGTAATTTTATTTACGAAACATGTTAAAAAACTATTTTATAAGCATGGATAATTAGTATCATCAATTTGTTGTGTTTCCCATATTGGTCCCCATAAGACCATAGGGTAATAAATTAATGATTTTAAAAGTTTATAGTTGAAATATGCAACATGCATTAATTTGGATTCAAGCACTCATATCTTGCATCTCTATATCTCTATATACATAATAGCAATACATGTTTTTACTGTTCATGGAACAGTATTCCCGCTCAATCGCTTAAGCATCTGCACCGTAGGATTAAAATCAATCTCTCACTGTTAAATTTCTTTTTCGCCAAATCCATTTGCCATCTTTATCCACACGTACGTCTGGATTTCAGCACCGGAGTTGCTGCCCCACCTTCATCCCAGCCGATCGCTATCTCCATCCAGGTATGTCTCAGGACTTCTTCTCCAACGGTGAATTCATATAGTTCCGGAGTTTATTGCCCCGCCTTCATCCCCATCGATCATCCATATTCAAAATAAATGAAGAATAAATAAATCATTACAATAAGACAATGAGAATTGAAGTACATATATGATTATGCAAAAGGTAGCTAAATCTGCCACCCTTACTTCTTTAGTCTCATAATGCTTGAATTTGTAACTTTTGGTCTGATGCTTCTATCCCGGTGTTGACGGTTAAGAATTCTTAAAATCCCTTTGAACCTCCTAATTTATGTAATCGAGTTTTCTTTTGTATTCACATTCTTTTCAAATGCATAGATCAATAGTAGTATGGTACTGTGTTGTTTTCATTCAACAGTATAATATAGTTTCACAATGGAAATTGTTGTTAACTTCATATCCATTTGATGATACTTTCTTACCGGAAATGTTCCGACAGTTGTAGTGTATAAACAATCTCATTGGAGCTGGTGTTCTTTATGATGTAAATGGTATATTTTTCCTTTTCACTAAATACTATTTCCATCGATTTGTTTTTTTTTTATATTTCTACTTTTGTAATAAAGCAACTTAAGTTGAAACTTTAACATGCATGGACTTGAAGCTTTTGATGATCTTTTTGCTAGCATGTCAATTTTGCTAGGGAATTCTCCATGGTTTGTTTTTATGAATAGCTATCACCATAGATGGTACATTCCATCTTTTCAGGTCTTTGTTTTCTTTCATTTTTTTTGAAAGTATAATATGTTTATACCATTGGGAGGGTTTAAACAAATGTGGACACTCTTGATGTTGAAGTGGGGGGTGAAGTGGGTGAAGCTTCTTGATGGATTCTCACCCATGCCAGTCCACAAAGCATCTGGTTTGACTGGGGATATCTAGTTAGTTGAGATTGTTATGGGTGGACAGTAAATAATACTGTTTAGTATTATCAACTCGCTTTTTTCCTTTGACTGTATGCCAAACTTTTCCATACTTATCTCTCCAGAAGTTTGAAACTTTTGACCAGTTGCGATTTTTGCTTAGTATCATTTCAACAATGGAGTAAATAGCGTGGTAATTTCCAGAGAATGATTTGCCTCCACGTTGGTTTATAAAGTTTACAGAAATAACAGTCATACAATGTGATAGTCTAAAATATGGGTACTCTCTTCGTCCTAATAGGATTATTCACTTAGTTTATAGTCTTGGTGTTATTTTTTACTTCACCTGTTACATATATATAGTATATCTTTAAATTGCTTATTTATTGTTTATATTCAGTCCCTCCTCCCCCATGTCTGAAAAACCTGCAATTTCATTTGTAGAATATGTTTAGTGAATTTATCTTAAAGAATATATTTTCAGCCCTCCTCCCTCCACATCTACTTTTTTACTTAACTTGACAGTAGTTAATAAATTTAGCCTGAATTATGTTTTATTTATCTATTTTTTAGTTTCTTTAAAGAAATCAATACTCTTCTCTTTAAATTTATAGAACCTGGCTATCTGCTATCTAGATTAAACTAATACGTACTACCTAAATGGATATTCGACATTCCTTTACCCATTTTCATCAAGGTATGTCAGTTTCCCTTTTGTATGGAGTAAAGGGTTAGTTTGGTACTCGAACTTGTAAAAAAGGTGTCAAATACGTCCTTATATAGAAGACTATGTCCGGATGTGCCATTTGAGGTGTCTCCCGGTAGAATTTTTTGATAATTTTTTTTGAGCATCTTATTCATTAAGTCTAGTTTACTCATACCAAATTTCAGCTAAACATTCAATCGGGAAGACATTCAAATGAATTCTTGAAGATAACTACGCTTTTAACGGCACAATTATCTTCCAGAATTCATTTCAATGTCTTCCCGATTGAATTTTTATTTGAAATTTGATATGAGTAAACTAGACTTAATGAATAAGATGCTCAAAAAATTTCATCAAAAAATTCCATCGGGAGCCACCTCAAATGACACTTCCGGACAGAATCTTCTATATAAGGACTTATTTGACTCCTTTTTTGCAACTTCGAGGACAGAATCTTCTATATGTATTCAATTTTCATATGATTTGAGGATTTGATACAGCCTTGGAGCCATTTGAGGTTGATAAAGGAAAATTGGCTGCTTCACATTTCTCTTTAGATGAACTTGATAAAACCCTTATTGGAAGAGGGAGATAGTTCTTGATTCTAAAAGGCATTTTTAGATGATTTGAGGCACATTAATTTAGACTTGAGGTTATCTATGTTGCCTCTATTATAAGAGCAGTAATTGTGTTAGGGACCTACATAGAATAATAATAAATGAGAATAAGAATAATATTAGAATAGTTAGTATAAATAGAGGTGGAGGGTAGAATAGAGAGGAGGCTGTTTGACTCTTAAGTCTGTACTGGGAAGATCAGAGTACTATCTCTATCTTTTGGGGGCTTCGGCCATGTTGCCTGTTCAATAAAAGTTGCTGATGGATTGTCTACCCGGGGGGTATCTTATCCGAGGGGTTATTGCGGGACTAACTAGAGAGAAGTCAGAGCAAATAGGAGGAGAGAGAGTCGATTTATTAAATGAACTCGAGATGTTCTGGTCCTTTACAACGGGGAAAAGGGTGCTATTTATAGTAGTAATAAATGCGATGAGGGGACACGTGTCAACGATCTGACGGCCGAAGGGTCACATCAACTGAGTGGCACCGGCAGTGGCATGTTCGTCGCATTAAATGCGGTGGGTGGATGTGACGCTGCATTAAATGCGGTGGTTGACTGTCTCCAAAGGGAATCTTTGATGATGATGGAGGTGTTGGCCGAAGGCCCCCCCTTCGGCCGAGGGTTCCTCGTAGTGGAAGTGAGGAGGGTGCCGAGGGCTCTCCTGCCCCCGAAGGCATCCCTGAGTGCCGAGGGCTTCGGTAGCCGAGGGATACCTTTTGCGCCGTTTTCTCCCAGTAGCGTTGCAAGCTCGAATCTGGCTGCCATGTTCGATTTGGAGCCTTCGGCCAGGAAGGGCCGAAGGCATTCCAGTGTGCATTCTGGGTTCTCTTGATGCTTGGGCCGTTGTATTTGGGCCTGAGACGCCCCCTGGGCCTAGTGGGCTTGTGTATGAGAAGTAGGAGTCTGTGGGCCGGGGGCTCCTGGGCCATATACTCCATCAGGAGTCGCCCACTCCTTTTGCCGAAAGGCACTTGAGGGAAAAGGAGTAACTGCGTTGATGCGCCGCGTGTGCCGAAGGCTTTCCCTTATCCGGAGAGGTTTCCTGAGATTTACCGAGGGCTTCCCCTCAGTCCCCCCACATGTCGAGGGTTTTCTGAGGGAAGTATAAATGAGTTGCCTGTGTGTGTTGTGATGAGGGCTGACTCATTGTCGCCAGTGACTTGTGGGAATTTTTTGATATCTTGTCTTTTGCCGAAGGGTCCGAAGACTCATGTGCCCGAAGGGTTCTCCTTTGGTGTCACCCGATGGCCGTTGCTTTGTGTTGTCTGCAACTTTTTCGTTTTCGACAATCTATACGCTGCATAAATCCCGAGGGGTGTATCTAGTCCCCCACTCCTTTAGGCCGAAGGCTAGTTCGGGCTGAAGGGGTTATATTGTATGACGAATCCCCGAGGGGGGTGATATTGCTAGCCGGGGGCTTACGTTGCAGTTTGTTCGAAGGTACTTGGTGATATTCGCTCACCGAAGGGCCTACTCAGTAAGAGCCGGAAGCTATCGCCTGGGGTTGTTTCAAGAGTCTCCGAAATAGAGCCGTTGTGATATAGCCGTTGGAAGAGGGGTTGACGTGGCGATTCCTTATTGGCAGATGGAGGGCGGGCGCCACCCATTGGCTGAACCGGCGGTGTGTAATGATGGTTTTTTCAAACGGAGGCCCATATATCGAGGCCCATTCCCTATAAATACCCAAGGGCAGAGGTCATTCTCCTTGCGCGATTTTAAGCTATAGCGAAGCTCTGCCCAATTTTCTAGAGAGACAAAGTAATTCCTTCGATCAAAAGCGACTTTTGAGGTCAGTTCTTCTTCAGTTCTTCGAATTCCTTAGCATATTTTGCTCTTCCCCTCTTAGATTTAGTGTTAGTGATTTCAGCGGCCCTCGGCTAGGACATTAAGCTAGCCCTCTTTCTTAGTACTCCCATCTTTAGTTG